GGTTCAGATGTAGAAATGGCACGTCTGTCACACAGAAAAGCAAGCTCATTTTGTAAAGCTGGAACTCACAAAGGCAGGATTTTGCCTACCTCATTTCAGACGTCCATAATCTTTTCTGTGGGATGGCTGCATTCAGTGGTGAGACACACCGCAGTCAGTACATTTCATTTCAAAATTAGGCTACTTGTTGCAAAATGGTCATCAGTGAAAATGGACAAGCTTAGTGTTGAGGTTTAACAGTAAAAAAATACTAAGGGCCCTTCACAGAGCTTACTTTCCCATTTAGTTCACTACTATAAAGTGAAAGATGCAAAAAGGAACCCAGGCTTTCTCAGAATGGTAATAATAATCTGTCAGCCAAGCTGAAAAATTACTCCAAAACACAGAAAAGAAGCTCCCTGAAAAACAGTCATGGAGGGGCTGTGAATCTATTTATAATCCCGTGCTGAAGGTTTCGCTTAGGCCTTTGCTTAGTATTGCTTAGGCCTTGTGCATGACCGAAGTGTGTTAAGATTCCATGTAATGCTACTGTTTGATTCTGGCTTCAGAAAGTGAGTGGAGGGAATGGTGGGTGTCTGCTATATACATAAAAAATCAGGTATTGCTGCAAACATGTTGCAAATAAAATAAGTATTGCCAAAACTCCCCGCACAAACCTACTTTTAAAATATTTATTTTTTATTTCTCAATCTACTCACTGACTCTGGAAAGTAGATGCCTTTTAAAATCAAATGTGATTAGAAAAGAAACCAGATTTACCTGTGACCAAATGAATTATCTGTAGGAAAATAATGATATGAAGAGCTGTTGTCTGCTGATATCTGGAACCCATCACCTTGCAGTTTTGTAAGGCATCAATAAGCAAAACTTCTGGGGCAAATCTTCCCAGATCCCTGTAATATTTTCAAGCACAGAACAGAAAATGGGAAGAGTGAATCAAACTAGAACCATATTTTCTCTGTCTACAGGTATATATAGAATGATACAAGGACAAATCATCTTGAGGTGTTTATGTACCTTTGAGTGACATTAGAAATGACACAATAAGCTGTTTTTATCAAAAGTCAATCAGTCAAGCTGTGATTCTTTGCCATCAGAGTAAAGAGAGATATTTCTGAGAGATATAGAAGAACACGATATTGGATCTTAAGGACACTTTACAGTCTTGGTCCCCAAGTGTCCATGAGACACTCAGTGTTCAGAAAACTTCCAGCCAGGATAGCAACATTTTCATGGAATCATAGAATCATGGAATGTTTTGGGTTGGAAGTGACTTAAAGAGCATCTAATTCCAAACCCCCTGCCATGGGCAGGGACACCTTCCACTAGACCAGGTTGCTCCAAGCCTCATCCAGCCTGGCCTTGGACACTTCCAGGGATGGGGCATCCACAGCTTCTCTGGGCAACCTGTCCCAGTGCCTCCCCGCCCTCTCTGGGAAGAATTTCTTCCTGATGTCCAATCCAAATTTTCCCATTTTCAGTTTAAACCCATTACCCCTTGTCCTGTCACTTCCTGACCTTGTAAAAAGTGTGCACAACCCCCCCTCTCCCCCAGCATTCTTGTAGCCACCCCAGGCACTGGAAGGGGCTCTAATGTCTCCCCAGAACTTCTCTTCTCCAGGCTGAACATCCCCAACTCTCCCAGCCTCTTCCCATGGCAGAGGGGTTCCACCCTCAGAGCACCTCTGTGGTCTCCTCTGGACTTGCTCCAACATTTCCGTTTCCTTCTGATGTTGGGAGCCCCAGAGCTGGAGGCACAACTGCAGGAGGGGTCTCCCCAGAGCAGAGCAGAGGAGGAGAATCCCCTCCCTCGTCCTGCTGGCCATGCTGCTCTGGATACAGCTCAGGGTACGGTTGGCTTTCTGGGCTGCCAGAGCACACAGGCAGCTCATGTCCAGCTTTTAATCCACCAATGTTCCCAAGTCCTTCTCCTCAGGGCTGGTCTCAAGCATTCTCTGCCCAGTCTGTACTTTTGCCTGGGATTACCCCAACCCATGTGCAGGACCTCGCCCTTGGACATTTTTGGAACATTTTTTTAACACATTTTTCTAGATGATGTGAGGTTAAATCTAAACCAAATAGGATGTGTCTAACTACAGACTGGTGAGACTCTGAGGCAGACAGTAATCTTTAAAATTAATTTCCAAGTCCTGCTTGAAATCATCTAATGTGCACTGAAATTCCATATGTTGTTTCACTTACTCCTTGCTTGGTCAAATATTCTGTTGTCATTGTTAGCTGGAGAAATAAGCTAGAATTTATAGAAAGGGTCTTCAAAAATGCCAGAAGACAATAGAATAAATTTCTATATCATTCCGGTTTTGAATAAAATGCTAACACACTTCTACCATGAGCGGGTTCACGTGTAATTTGAAACCGTGGATTCAACTTGGTAAATTCTTGACCTAAATAACTTACATTGCCTGTTAAACTGATTATTTCAGGCCCATACAGTCAGTAAAAGCAGCAATGGGTGGATTTCCCCTGCTGTATAAGAATTAACGATGTTTTGAAATACACAGGTGAGATGAAGCAACCTATTGATTGCTGTAAAGAAAGTCAGAGAGATGCACTGGCATGCAAATTCTAGTTAGGTGCACAGAATCCAGCCCAATGTTTCAATAGTTATTTTTAGTATAAAATGTAAGTACTTTCCTCCACCCAGAGCTTTTCCTGTGAACTCTGAAAAATAATTAGATGGACATAAAGTATTTGTGTCACCAAACTCAGCATGGGAAGGGGCTGGTTTCCTTAGAGCCCAGCATTCCTCTTTAAATGCAAGGTCTGCAGAATGTGTTTGGTGTTCATTTCTTTGTGCACCTTTGCTTTCTTAATGAAGGAGAAGCATGGAACAGTAAAGTGAAAAAGAAAGCTAGGGATTGCAACTGCAGAAGGCCAAGTCCATTGTTGTAATCTGCACTCATTCATTGCTATTCCTATTGAATGATTAACTATTCACCTAACTGAAGAGTTAGCTTTTCCAAGATCTAGACTGGATCAAGGAAGAAAAGAAAGAAAATCTTAAAAACACCAAAGCTACAGAGCCTTGTCTGTCTTGCTCTGGATTTATTCCTGTTTCACACTCCTCCAAATATAACTAAAGGTTCTCAGACACAGGCCTAAAGTAATTTCTTAAAAGGGAAAGACAAAATAAATGCCACATATTTGCACCATTCACCAGCTGAAAAATCTAGCAAATATTTATTGCTTGCACATGCATGAATGTAAAAATCTCTATCCTTTATATTGATTAGCTGCAGAATAAATTTATACCTGTGTCATACTTCATTAATTAAGATTATCTGTGTGAGGATATAAAAGTCATACTGGTACACACCTACCAGACAAACACATAACAACTCTACATTTCTGACACAAAAAGAGGAAATAAATTTGCTTTCATAAGCGGAAATATGTTTCAGAATCATTGCATTGCAGTCCTCAAACTAACTCCATCCACCACTGAAGTTTCAGCAAACTCTTTCAAGCAACCTAGCAAATATTAATTAGTATTTTCAGAGACCAACCTCTTTAATAAAGGTTGCTAGCGGGTAGCTTCTGATTTAAGATCAAAATCATAGATCAGATCTAGGCATCATCCACTCTTAAAGATGTGGACTGTTTCATTCATCACGTTAAGGCAGTATATAAAAAGAAACGTAAATGATCTTTAGCAAGTTCATTAAAATGGCACCCACAAATGACAGTAACATTCCCAGTGGCCCAGGCAAGAAAAGGAGTAGCCTTCTTAATTCCAAACTGGAATAATTCCCTGGGGACTGTAAATAGTAAAAGCACCTGCTCAGTATTCATGCAAACCCCTCCAAAAACCTAATCACACACAGTTATGTTACAGTCTGACTTTAATTTCTTACCTGTATAGCAAGATCCAAAGTATCCATTTTAAATTCAGTGTGGATTATGGAAGTGAAGAACCTTTGGCTTGCATCACCTGGACATACCTACTTTCTTTTTCCATATCTATAGAGGGGATAAGCTTCACTAATTTCCTCACCAAAGATTACAAGTATTGAAAACTGAACTTTCACCACAAGCAGTTTTTTGCTCTTAGGTACATTATTCCAGCCAATACCTGCAGATACCAACAACCTATAGTAGGACACATCCAAAGGCTTGATTTGCCTACACACCTAAATCCAAAGTACAGCAAGAGGATTATGTTTCAAACCCTTTAGTACCTGTGCAATGCAACTCATTTCCCGGCAGGGCTTTCTGACAATTAAATAAAACTGAGAAAACAGCATGAATGGCAGGTTGAGAAACCGAAATGGGGTGTTTCAAGAGCCCATTACCCTCTAGGATGATTTGAATTTAGTCATGTGAATATACAAGACAGAGACCGGGTAGGAAGGCATAGAGATTTAGAAACTGAATAGTTTAGATCTTTGAAGTGCAAGACTTTAGGATTCAATTACACCAGTTTTATTTATGTGTTAGAGAGGGAGAGGAAGTTAAGAACTGTAGTGAGCAGGAAAATAACTTGATTTACAAGACTCAGACCCTTCACAGAGAAAAAGACTAATGAACATCTGAATGAGGCTCAATTCCCCGTCATTTAAGGGCGGGATGGGTTCTGCATACAAAAGTATTGCAGACATGGGGCTACACCTAGATTCAAAACATTGGGGTTTTTTTATGGACTTCAGGCAGGATCAATTATGTTGTAGAGCTGCCTCTTTCTGCTTTGACTGTGGAGGGAGAATGAACATCCAGCTGCAACTCAAAACATCATCTTCAAACAGCAAGGTCACAGCAGCTTAATTGCACCCAGAGAATCCAAGGCTGTGATTTCCTTTAATCAAACAAGGTGGGTTATCATATTGTGAGATGACTCATAACTCAAACTCCACTCTCTTTCACAATATCAGTAAAATAAGCGGTTGTTTCACACGAGGATTATCTCTGAAAATTCAGGCACCTTTCTCCACAGACATGACATTGAGGATGATCCTGATAAATCAATGGAAAGGTAAATCAGTGTCTTGACACATGAAGGTAGGCTCTCTTATCACAATTTTAACCTAAACCTGGGGTTTTATGATTATCTGCATTTGTTCCCTCACACTACATCCTCAAAAATGCACCAAGAATGTCTTTAAAGTAACATGTACACCATCTCTATGCAGTAAAGACACGAGGACTTAGAAAGAGGTAATGCTTTCACTGGACATACTGTAAAAAACCTGTAAATGATAATCTTTTTCCTGAAGAATAACTCCTCTGCTGTGGGAAAGAAAGTACTACCTCGTTAACTGAAGGGTTTGGTTATAACTTAATTATGCTTCTAGTGTGCAGTTCTGTTATAAAAGCAGCCAGCTCGTGTTTTCAAAAGCACTGCTAGATTAGGCTCATAATAGATGATACCAAAATAGCGCTTTGTGATCTGTGCTGGAGAGCTTCCGATGAGGGACATGAAAACCTTCTCAGGAAGCGACGTGTCGTTTAGGCAGAAAAGACCAGCTCTCAATACTTGTCTCTGCTGAGTCCAAACTTGAATTTGCTTTGGTGACATCTCATTTAGTTTGTAAATTTTTAGACTTGTTTACTAATTATTTGTAAGACAATAGAGAGTGTAGTAGAAGTATTTGAGTTAGAAATAAACCAGTTAATGTTCTCAAAAATCTACAATAATAGTATTGAAGCATTTACAATATCGCAGTTTCAATTTGTTCTGTGCTATTCAGCTAAACAAATTCTAGCGGAGAAACCAGACACTTTCTGTCTTTACGAAGTAGAATCTTTATTTATTTGTTTGTTTGTTTATTTTTCTGGTCAACAAACAAAGTGACTAGAAGTTGTCTGTTCAACAAGTTTTCTTTCATATATCACGTTTCTCATAACACAAGGTATGTATATCAGGAAAATTTGCCAGACTTAAAATATTCCTGCCTTAATTTCTTCAAAGCTGAATCAAATTCATCAGAACCAAGACGTTTTGCCTAAAAGGTCTACAGACTTTGGTCTATAAAATATTCCAGGCAGAAGCATTCCTGGGCATTGGGACCACCATCCAAACCCCGATAATATGGTGAGTCCAGGTAAGAAATTCTACCCTAACTGCTATAGTGATCTCAGACAACCCTTACTCCACCTCCATCCTTAAGGAAGTTAATTCATGTTTTCTATGGGCTTGTTTCCTAAATGAGGACACTAGTGAAGAGGTTGCAAGATGGACCTGCAAAACTTACATCATCAGTGACGACTCCATCTAGGAAGTGTCAAGATTCACTTGAGAAAGCATCACACTTTGCATTCTTGATATTGTAGGCTCCATCCTTCAGCAGGTTCATTTTCAAGAAACGTCCCCTCTGCTTTCTTCAGTTTTGTCCTGGGAAGACCAGATTGCAAATAAGCTAGTGTTCTTACAGACCTTACGGAAACTTCATAGCTCTGAGAAAATATACTGCTCAATTAATTTGGATAAAACTCATCAAATTAGCCTCAAATTTTAATCTAAACCTAATCAGTAGGTTTAGAATTTCCATTACAAAAAGAAAAAAAAGCAGAACGAAATACCCCCACTACACCCCAAAAAAAAAAAAGACAAACCCAAACAAACCAAAAAAACCCCACAACAAACTCCCCCTCCCCCCCCCAAACCCAGAAAAACACCCAAACCAAAGCATTCTATTATACTACCACACAGAAAAGCTCTGGGCCATCCCTTTTTCAAGGATCGTCATTACAGTCTGGATACATGTGCTGGTTTTGGCTGTGACAGAGTTAATTCTCTTCACTGTAGCTGGGATGGGGCTAAGTTTGGGATTTGTGCTGAAAACAGTGTTGATGATACCAGGGTGTTTTGTCATTGCTGAGCAGTGCTTACACAGAGTCAAGGCCTTTTCTGCTTCTCACACCAACAGCGAGCAGGCTGGGGGTGCACAAGTTGTGAGGGGACACAACTGGGACAGCAGACTCCAACTGACCAAAGGGATATTCCATCCCAAATAATGTCATGCTCAGTATATAAAGATGTGGCAGGAGAAGATGGAAGAGGGGAATGATCGGAGTGATAGTGTTTGTCTCCCCAAGCAACCATCATGTGTGATGAGGCCCTGCTTTCCCGGCAATGGTTGAACATCTCCTGCTCAAGGGAAGTCGTGAATGAATTCCTTGTTTTGTTTTGTTTGTGTGTGTGACTTTTGCTTCACTTATTTACATACACTACAATACAGTTGTCTTTAACTCAACCCATGGGTTTTCTCACTTTCACTCTTCCAATTCTCCCTCCCATCCCGCTGGGGGCAGGAATCACTTTTACTCTTCCAATTCTCCCTCCCATTCCGCTGGGGGCAGGAGAGTGAGCGACGAGCTGTGTGGTGCTTTGTTGCCAGCTGGGGTTAAAACATGATATTATAAAAAGAGAGAAAACAGTGTCCTGACAGCAGTAGATGTTTGTTCACAGAGTGTCCAGGAGTCAGACAAACTGAAGGATAAAAATAAGGGGAAAGTTTGACTGAAATTGTTTTCTGATCTTCAACAGGACATAAAAAGAACAATATAGAAACAACTTCCAACACTGTCAAGATCCAGATATATTTGCAAACAGAGGGAAATACTTGAGCCTGTGATAGAAAAGTATTACCCTGCCAATTGTTCATGACATACTGGCAAGTTTTACTGCAGTGTTTTCTGGCTAAATGGTGGTTAAATAGTTAATAATGCAGCTTTGCAGCTTTCCAGTATCTGAAGAGGGCCTACAAGGGTACTGGGAGAGGACTTTTTACAAGAGCCGGTAGTGATAGGACAAGGGGTAATGGGTATAAATTGAAATCAGGGAGGTTTAGATTAGATGTCAGGAAGAAATTCTTCACAGAGAGGGTGGTGAGGCACTGGAACAGGTTGCCCAGAGATGTTGTGGATGCCCCATCCCTGGAAGTGTCCAAGGCCAGGCTGGATGAGGCTTGGAGCAACCTGGTCTAGTGGAAGGTGTCCCTGCCCATGGCCGGGGGGGTGGAACTAGATGATCTTTAAGGGCCCTTCCAACCCTAACCATTCTATGATTCTATGATTCTATGATAATTATGCACAGGGGGATGAGGAAGAACATCCCCACTGTGTTCCAGCTAGGAATATAGAGAGGTGAATTGAGAAGCAAGAAGCTATTTTGGTCTTTCAATATGAATCTTGGCAGCCACCTTTTCCCCAGTCATACTGCCCAGTCCTCTCTAGCTCTATTGGATGTGAAAAACGCAATCACAAGTTTCAGTGGTAATAAAGATATGAGGACAAAGGTTCACCACAACCATATTACGTAGAGAAGTCTTAAGGTCTTACAATTCAGGTAAGAAATGATACTTTTGCTAAATCCATGAAGAAAACACATTGCATTTACTATGATACTTGAATTAACTAGTGTAGGATTAATCACTTGCAGTGACAGGAATGAACCTGCCTGCAGTAGATGCATTATTGCCATTTTCAGATGGGAAAACCTCTCTTTGACAGCACTTGATTTTTTACCAGTGATTGAAGAAGTGAGAAAAACAGACCCCAGCAAAGGATATCAGGAGCTGTTATGCTTGTAATTAAGTTGTCTTCTGCCCCTTCAGCTCACTAGTCAGTTGGAGTTGTATATCCTTACTCTGAGTGTGCTGTGAGTATGGATTAGTTCAGCAGTGAGTCAAAAGCAAAGATCCTGGGAGGAAGTGGGAGAGTCATATTTGTTAAATCACAAGTTTTTCTTTAAAATGCAGGTGTAATTCAACAGGGAGACTAATATAATAGCATCACTTCTGAGAATTTACTCATGAGGTTGTTTGGTGTTTTTTTGCTATAAAAAAAGGTAAAAAACAGTAGTTTGCTAAAATCAAAAGACAGGATGAAATGCTTTAAGTCCTCACTGAAAGGGGAAAAAAAAAAAAAAAGCTGGTGACTATAATAACAAGTTTCTGGAAGACAAAGGTAAATATGGCCAGCTGAATAGAGGAGACAAACAGTATATTTCTTTTGTACCATTTATTAGTTAAATTTGACAGGGACATGAGGAAAGAAAAGATGTCCTCTTTGATAGCATCAAACCCATTATCTGTAAATTCATTCATATTTTCTCCTTATTATTTTATGCCTGTAATTATGCTTGCTATTTTGCATGTAACATGTGAAGAAACTGAAGGAGTCACACAGAAATTTCATCTGGAAGGTTTGCATTTGGTCCTGTGGATGATTAGGAAGCCTGGATATTGATGGGTTCCCCCATTTGGTGGCTGACAGCTATTCACATACTGACTTTTCATTGCAGATCATGCCTGACTACAGGTAAAGATAGTTCCATTTTTTGTATATTCTAATGACACAGCTTATTTCTGCCTAGGTTCATAAAAATGTAAAAGTCAAAAATAATGAGTACACATCTTTCTTCTTTTTAACTTTCTTCTTTTTAACTAAAAAAAGAAAAATCTAAAACAAATTTCATAAACCATCAAATTAAAATACCAAATAAGGCCCTGGTGCAGCCTGATAGGTGTTAAGGTACCTGAGACATCGAAGTAGGGCTGTCGGAGATGTATAACCCTCTAGACTGGCGAATGGAGGCCAGCAGGGAGGCTCCAGGTTAACTCAGCACTAGACAGTGAGGTGTAGGCAACTGAATTGAGTCCAAGGTTTTGGATTTGGCTGGCAGATTTAGCTGCCTACATTCAGCTTCCTAGCAGCGGGTGTCTTCATGCAATCTAGGATCAGATTCAGTTGCTCAGACATTGGCATCTATTGGTATTTTAGACGTTGTGGGGTCATGATCTTGCCCCTTGATGTTCCAAAATAGAATAGACATGTCATGTAGTCTATCTTTTGTCTAGACTACGCAAAGGCATCCAAGATGGATGTTCAAGGAGTTCTATCCTACACAAAGAACACACTTTGCCTCCTGCAGAATGAACCGAACAGATTATTTGGCTAGATCTCCATTGACTGTAGCAGGAATATAGTCAAGTCAATGACTGAACTGGAAGTGGCAGGTCATTCAAAGATGGAAGCTGTGTTTTTAGTCCTCTTGGTGATTAAGAAGCCTGGACACCTTTTTTTAAGTTCCCAGTTCTGGACCTTAGTCCCACACCCTGTGAGTTACTCAGGTGTTAAACCACAGACACCTGGTGTCATTGTAAAATCTTTAGGGTATCTGAGATTTCCTGTTAGATGGAGCTGGCAGATATGATGCTGGCAGATATGATAGAAGGTCAGCATAGACTGAGGCCCTTTGGGCTTGATCAGATGCAATACCATACAACATATGAAGTGACATTATATGTTTATGAAATGATACTGGAAATAACTCCTCGATGTTTCATGGTACATTTTAAACTTACCATAGAATAAAGACAAGTTGCTGTGATACAACTTCTTTGAAAATCCATATTGGTTGCTATTTAGTCATTTCCAAGAGCCTTTTTTTTTCCATTTTGGAATCCTCCTTGAAACTGAAATGAGAATAACTGCTATAAAATATTCTGGATTTCCCTTTTTCTCCCTTTCAAAGACATATATTGTGGGTGGGATTCATCTCATGTATCTAACTTCAGTATAGTAACCCTAGACTTCACCATTCAAAGAAAAGATCTGGAAGAAACAGCCATTGGCGCTTCAACAAAGACTAATTCTCTGATGCTGCCTGTTTCTCCACAATCATTGCAAAGGGGATCTGGGATGGCGAGCTCAGATGTAGATGACCAAATCATCATATATGTGATAAATAGACATGTAAATATCTAGTGTCCCTCTAGGCACTGCTGTATTCTGCATCCTGCATCCTATATTTGACCTTTTATAGACTTCTCAACATTCACCCATTTTCCATTATTTCTCAATAACCATACTTAATGGCCCCAAACTTGCTTAAGTGTTCAGACCTCAGAAGAATAAACTCCATGAGCCTCACATATCATGAACATTACTCATCTAAGTCATCTGCCAAGTTATTTTTATTTTTCTTCTGGATTTACCTCCTGTTGACATTGATAATGGTTGATTTGTTACCTGATGTGGTGCCACAAAAAATGTGATATGGACAAACAGAAACAACTGCCATTTTATCTTCACACAGGTCAATTTATTAGTTCTCCTAATAGTTCCATCATTGGAGTCATTGGAAAAGGGGTCATTCTGCCCTGCCACGTGGTAGCAGATAACATTCCAGAGGTTTTCTCTGTCCAGTGGATATTTCATGAACAGTCTGAAAAAATAACTGTGAACAGATACGATGGAAAGAACGAAAAAGAGGAACAAGATGAGAGATATCACGGCAGAACAGAATTCTTCCATAGTGAATTTAGAGCTGGCAACATGTCTCTGCGCTTGAAGAATGTCAGGAGCTCTGACAAGGGATCATACACTTGTGTGGTCTCTTTCAATGACACGTACCATGATGTGTTGATTGAACTGCAAGTGGCAGGTCAGAGGCAATTCTCTTTCTTTTTATTCAAAGGTGGAGCTGAACAGAAATATGAATATCCATCACTGAGGGAATTTTAATATAAATTTAATGTGGTTTGATACATAAACTATCTTCATGGGAGGATGTGTTTGATTTCAGTTGGTTTTCTCCAAATTAATGTTCAAAACCAATATTTAAGTGTTAGTAAATCTACTTTACGATATCTTTATTTAGGTACCGGAACGCGTGCAGCTACGTGTGACCTGAGAGTACAATCTCCCCTCAGACTCAATGAAAGCTCAGTCAGAAAGTTCAGGGAACCCTGAAATTATCCAAATGATCAATATAAAATTAAATTTAGGTGCAATCTACTGTGCAATCAAGTGTTACTGAGATGATTGTCCAGAGTTTCTCTATGGTCTCTACCATCTTTGTGCATAGCTTCAGTTAACGTGGTTGGCTTGGAAGTGGACATGTGTTCCTCCATGCTTTCTCTGCTACACAGGAACCAGTTTCCACTGGATGGGTATTGAGGCTTCTCATGTTGCAGCCAGATTCTCCTGAAGATGTCTTCTTATCTTTAAAACTCCAGATGAAGCAAAGGTTTACCATCTAAGTGACACTAATTACATCTTCTGCACTCCTGAGTATAAACAATACCCCTTTTTGCACTGAAGATGTGATCTGTAGCATGTCAGTACTAGTTTTACTTGAAATAGTTAGCCTGAGACAGTAATATATTCTGTTTTCATGAGCAGGTTGCACTGGTCGTTCATAGGTTTCCTGCAACCCATTAATTATCATAATTATTTGGATTCTTTTTTCTCTTTTTACAAAATTCTGGGAAATTCCACTGGCAACTTCATTCCAGGATAGTCACCCCTAGACAGCTCTGTTTGTTGCAATCTCCATTAAATTGTTCCTTACTCTCAACCTGATAGAATTAATTGCTGGCCCTTAAGAAACTTCAGGACCCAAGTCCCTTTCACAGTTTAAATTCAGAAAAGTTTTTCTATGAACTTCCATACAAATATATATATATAAAAGAAGTGTTGAATTCGAGATAAACTGGAAAACTTCCTGTTCTCAGTACTGGTTGAAATGGAGAATATGCATGCTTTTTCTTAGCTAAAGGTGATGTGCCTTCCATTTTCCTGAAGAGTCATGTGAAGCAGGGTATTAGCCTCACCTGCCATGCAGCTGGATGGTTTCCTAAACCTGAGGTGATTTGGCTGGATGGCCAAGGATGGGCCCGGAAGGAACTATCGACCACAAAAATGACAAGGATGCCGACAGGCCTATACAGTGTGGTAACTTCCATGAACTTAAACCCGGGCTCTGACATGGAAGTCTCTTGCAGGATAGTCAACAATCTACTGAATACAACAAGCGAGTCCCGAGTCCTAATCTCAGGTGGGTGAGCTCTGTAGTCACCTGCTTATAGATTAAAAAGACGGATTGTCTAAATGGTGTGGGACCCATTTTCTTGTCATGGGCTGGCCTGAAGGTATATCATCAGAATCAGTGTTGGAAAAATCTTCATGAGCTGCAGCCACCTTCCACCCATATTTCTAGTCGTTTGCACATTTGACAGTATCTAGTGAATTCGTTTCTCCTTTTAAAAAGGGGACAGGCGATATTAAGACTCAGTGTTCCTTTCTTAAGATGTAACACCGTCAACTGGTTGGAGCTGAATTAAAATGGATTAAACACAACTGCATGCACATAAAAAAACGACACATTTTCGTAGTGATGGTCAAGCATTCTAAAGGCTTTCATTATCCAGAAATAGGTTACCAGGTCATTTAACAAGATGTGCGTTGGTGGGATTCACAGAGAATAGCTGAAAACAATAGTTATGGTCTCAAGGGTCAAAGTGATAGTTTCAACATCTCACAAATGTATCTAGTTTATGTTTTTATCTTCCCTCTTTTTAATATGTACATTACTGCATAATCATGGTGTGGATAATATCATGCTTTCCCGTAGTCTGTAGAACTTCACACTTTTCTGCTTGCTGGGTACATGGACAAGCATCAGGTAGTCTGAAGCAAGACTCATAGGGCTGGACCCCAAAAAGAAAGTCAGTCCCACAAAGCCAATGTCTAAGTCTGGGATGGCAACTAGAGTGCAGTTTAAAGCTCTTGAAGAAGTGTGTGAGGGAAGTCCCTTTCAGGATGGCTTCAAGAAATCCCAGAAAATTGTGTGTGGAGGTTCCTGGAAAGCGAAAATAGAGAACTGTGAATTTGAGGAATGTCTTAAATTTTATACTCCATCTGGGCTTATGGATAATACTCAGCAGGATGAATCACATAGTCATTGAATCCCATTCAACAGAAGTCAACATGTCTCTTTTGCCCAGTGGGGATGGTTTCTTCCTCCATTCCAACACGTCTTTTAAGGCTAGTTTACTACAAAATGCAACACATCCATGACTGTGGAAAACTATCTATCTATCTATCTACCCACCCACCTACCTATCTCAGACATCTCTCTTATAATTCTGAATCTGATACCCATGGAAAGAGTCTCCCTGGGTTAGGCTTGCTGGAGAGAGCTAGATCTCTTCAGCAACATTGCTAGGCAATCCCAAGTAAAATACAAATCCACCATCTCCTCAGATGTATTGATTAGATCCTAAGTTATGGTTGTCTTTATGTTTAGTCATTAATAGAACATGACTCCTTTTGGTACTTTTTTTACAGATGTTTTTTTTCTACATTTCAAAATGGCTGATCATCTTCCTGGTAATTTTATGTCTTTGCATGGTCCTGATTTCCACTGTATATTCTAAGCTGAGAAGTAAGTATTTGTACATCACTCAACATACAGAAATATCACAGCAGTTCATGTTGAAATCCATGACTAACAACAAGCAAAATCACCAGTGATTGTTTAATGACCAAATTCAGGTGATTGATTCAAAAAAGGGTGGGAAATGACACAGTTTGAACAAGGAGGAATGCAAACATACCTCAGACTGCTTTAGGTCTGACAAGAGGAGCGTTGGGAACTAAACTATGTGTGTAGTTTCCATAGTCATTGGGGACACAACCTCTGATTGTTGCTAATGACACTAGAGCAAAAATGACAAATCAACAAACAGATTTCTGGTAATACTACTCTACAAAAACATGCAATAAAGGGGGTTTTTGCTCTTTTTTAAACAGGTAATAACAAGAAAACATTTAACACCGGTAAGTAATGAGAAAGATGAATATGAAGATTATGACAATTTGTAAATTGGTTTATTTATATTAAATTACAGGATTAATTAGCAGTTGTAGTTGCATCCAAATATGTTTTGTAGTTTTTAATTTTATTTTTGCACTGCACAATGTAGCAAATTCCTATATGAGTTTGTGGTTTCACACACCACACCCCCACCCCCACCCCAGTTTCTGCTTTATAAATAATGTTTCCTTTCATTAAGCTCTGGTCATCACTATATGATGACAGACATACTCCAGCAGGTCATGCATATTCAAGCTTTGTTTGTAGTTGTTCAAGAGTTAATTAATTGGTGAGAAGCATTCCTCAGATTCCTTAGAAGAAGAACTAAATGAATTAAACAGTAAAGAGCAATTCAAGGGTCGAACCCAAAGCCATCTCAAGACTCCGAAAGCAACTCACTCCTTCAATATATCTGTTTGGTACTTACCACCTATGTCTGTACTTAAAAATAGAATGGACCAGTTGGCATGGAATCATGGAATGGTTTGGGCTGAAAGGGTCCTTTAAAGATCATCTAATCCATTGGGGGGGGGGGGGGGGAAGGTGAGGGGGAAACGACACACACTGCATAGCTCATGTGGATTGTGACGAACATTCCTGCTTACCAGGACAGAGTATCCACAATCAAAACACTGACTGTCAATGGCTCTTGGCTCGTGTTGTTGCCCAGATGATACCTGCTTGGGGAGATTACTAATTGGGGAGATTACTAATTAACCCATGCTATAACTACAGCAGGGAGTATGCTAACAAATGGATTGCATGAATAATTGTATTCCCTGAAACATGTCTGGTTCTGTTCCCTGACATGGTTTGGCAGTTGAAGATAGATGTGTCGATGGGACCAGAAAGGACTTATTCCTGGCCACTGAACCTCAGTTAAGCTACAGCTGGGCCAACACTCACCTAGGAAGGACTGCATGTCTCAGAATGTTACCTCATTTTTTGTGAACTCCATTACAAATGAAACATGTCTCAGTATAAAAAATAAGAATTCCTTGGACTCACAAGAAGCCTTGGAAGTTTACTAGGTTAAATTAAAGTAAAGATTTAACCCCAGTTATTTCTGTTTGTACATGAAGTACACTATTGAAGTTTATAAGAATAATTAACATTATAATCTATTTTCTGTATTTTTCAGTAAAAGTGAAGCTGGAAATGGAAGAAGGTAAAAGTCCTTTGCTTTCAAAATGATGCTAATGTGTTCAGATATCTCAGAAATGTAAATTAAGAGAAACAATATGCAAATGTTAATTTTCAATGTAACATTGCAGGAGGGGAAGCCCTTTACAATAATCAGGAAACATTGACAATCCCACATTGCACCCCACATGAGATCTATTCTCTAGTGAAGACTGCAGATGTTTACAAGGAAGTAACATGGGCCAGCAGTGACTGATCTGAAAACTCAAGCCAAATCTCTGCTGTTGGATGGAAATCTCTTAGCAAGCTTCTAACACTCCTTCTGTTTGTAGTGACCACTCTTCTGCCTTTTCCAATATTATTCATAGAATCATGGAATGGTTTATATTGGCAGGGACCTTAAAGCCCTTCCAGTCCCATCCTCCAGCTATGGGCAGGGACACCTTCCGCTAGACTAGGTTCAAAGCCTCATCCAGACTGGCTTTGAACACTTCCAGGGTGTTCCTGGCTCCTCTGGGCTGTTCCCATGCCTCACCACCCTCTTCAGGAAGAATTTCTTTCTGATGTCCAATCTCAATCTCCCCTTGTTCGATTTAAACCCACTACCCCTTGTCCTGTCACTCCCTGCCTTTGTAAAAAGCACCCCACTCCCCCCTCCCCCAGCTTTCTTGTATCCTCCCCAGGCACTAGAAGGTACTATAAGGCCTCCCCTAAGCCTTTTCTTCTTCAGGCTGAACACCCCCAACTCTCCCAGCCTGTCTCCATGACAAAGAGAGTCCATCCCCTGGAACATCTCTATGGATCCTTCTCTGGACTCACTCCAACAGGTCCATGTCCTTCTGATGGTGGGGGTCCCAGAGCTGGATGCAGAACTGCAGGGGGTTCTCACAAGAGCAGAGTACTATTATTCAGAACTATAGTCAGTTGAGTGGCCCTGTAAGCCTTGTGAGCTTTATTTATAGATCTCTACTGGGAGCTTGGATGCTTACAGCTCAATCCACTTGAGTACACACAGGTGGCTTGGATCATTTGTGATGCCCTTGGTCCTCCCACTTATCTCCCAGCTGCCATCCTGGAAGGAAGCAGACATCTCATTGATCTTTGATTTTATCTGAGAAATAGAATGTGAACTAGCAGAGCTTCTGTATGGTTCCAGAGATCTTTTAGGGAGACAACTGCATGCCACTTGGGGCACCCCAGGCATCTCAAATGCACTGAATATCCCTGTTAGATGTGGTCAGTTAAGGCATGATCTAAACAGGCTTTGAAAGAAAACCTCTACCAGAAATACAAATAAGTCTTGTTCCCACTGTGCTTAATGAGTTTTTAAATAATAACTTAATGATTTATCTAAATACAATACAATTGAAATGGTATGATAAATTGTGCTGGTTTTGGTCAGGACAGAGTTAATTTTCCTTACAGTGGCAGGTATGAAGCTGTTCTTGGATTTGCCTTGAGATTAGCACTGATAAGAGGTTTGCCAGTTTTTGTTGGGGAGTGTTTGCTCCAGTTCAAGGTCTTTTCCAACTCCTGATACTGCCCCTGTGTTCCCAATTTTCTCACTACAAGCAGAGTTTGGGGGGGGGCCGGACACACAGTTCAGACAGCTGACCCAAACTGACCGAAGGAGCATTTCCTTTCATAGCACGGCATGCTCAGTATATAAGAGGGGAGTGAGACTGGGTGGGCTGTATCTCCTTTGCTTGCTCACTTGTTAGCTGGCTCATTCATTAGTGAGTTGGTGGATTGGTTGGTTTTCCTGGTGATGCTGTCAGTCGTGGGGTTGCTTGGACCCTGCTGCCATCTCCTTTGGGATCTGGCTCTTGGGCTCTCTGGCTCTGACTTTCGCTACTCAGGACCTGGCTGTGTATCAGTTGGTGGGTGGTGAACAATTGTATAATCTGGTTTATTTTCTATTATTTTAATTACTTTTTATTAGTAGTACTGTTAATATTATCAGCATTACTATAATATTAATTTATCTTCAATTATTAAATAATTCTTATCTCAATTAATGATCTTCATTCTCATTTTCCCTGATGATCTTCCTCCACTGTTAGGGACAGGGGTGAAGTGATCGAGTGGCTGCATGGTGCTTCGTTACCAGCCGAGGTTAAACCATGGCATACATTCATAGGTTGTGTTGTTGAATTGGATTTACATGTACTTAACTTGAAGCAGTCAACAGTGCAATCCAAGGATGCACTCATTGTACAGTCATGTGACTCGTGTACTGGTATTGTTGAGTGCATTAAGCCACTCTATCAAAGAGCTTACACTGATATCTGTGTACTGTCTTTTCTAGAAAAAAAACAACTCAACTCAATGTTAGGTAAGATGCTTTTTTGTTCATTGTCTTTAATTGCCTTTGTGCTAATGTAATGCCCGCTTTGGTTTTTTTCTGGGTTGGTTTGTTTTTGTTTGTTTGTTTATTTGTTGCGGTCTGATTACTGGGTGTGATGGCACTCCTTAATGTGGTTATGCATTTGAAATTAAATGCAAGGCTCAGCTGAACTGAATCCTTTTCATGTGAAAAACCCCAGGTATAGTCTCAGATATTGACTTTTCAGGAAAGAAAGGCTTTAAGAATTGTAGAATTTGCGTGTGTGCATTTAGCTGTAAAACAACCTAGGAGAAAGTGTGTTGGAAGGATGTGTTTCCCAGAGAAGTGACACAAGTTTAAGGCACAAAGAAATGCAGTATGAAAGTCCACTAAATAATTTTAGAATTCCAATTTCATAGAATCATAGAATCGTAGAATGGTTTGGGTTGGAAAGGACTTTAAAGATTATCTAGTTCCAGCCCTCCTGCCATGGGCAGGGACACCTTCCACTAGACCAGGTTGCTCAAAGCCTCATCCAGCCTGGCCTTGAACATTTCAAGGGATGGGGAATCCACAACAATTTATAACCAATAAGTACTTCATTAATATTGTTTCTTTTATTCCATGTGCTAAACTTTTCAGAAGGAAAGAAAACCCAAAATCGAGCAGGTAAATGTCATTTTCTTAGAATAATCCTTGAGAATGGATGTTGTCCAGCTGCAGCGAAGATAAGCTACACTGTTTAATTAGCTGACTTTTATTTAAAATGCTCAGAAATGTTATTAGAGGTGATTACATGGCAAAGAGGCCAATGATATTTACTTCTCTACCTACCTGTGGGGGATGCATCGTGCCTTGGGCCCTGATGACAGTCCACTGACATCTCTCAGGGCTCTGCATCGGGTTTTTTTCATATGGTTTCATAGAATCATTTCTGTTGGAAAAGACCCTTAAGGTCAATGAGTGCTACCATTAAACTAACACACTGCCAGGAACACCACTAAACCATGTCCTTAAGCACTGTGTTCCACCTGGACACAAGTGCAGATTTCACAGAACCAAAACTTTCATCTCAGTTTTCTCATTCTTTCCTTCCCCTCTTCCGCATTACTGAGAAAAAACTGTAACTGCTTTTACGCTGCGACTTTAATGACAGAAATCTCCCACATGCATACACACTGTTGCCCTAAGTAACAACTAATTGTAATGTCTTTCTCACAAATGTGCTTTTGTTTTGTCTTGAGCTTTTACATCACTCATGTATGCTATTCCTTTTCAGCAAAGTCCAAACTCAAAAAACGCTTTGGTAAGAAAACACATTTTATGTAAGTATGAGATTCTTGTCAAGTTTAGAAACAATAAGATAAGTCTTCAGGTGAGTACATCTATGTTATCTCTGGATTTGACACCAAATAATATGGTGAAATATCAACCTGTGGGGAGGAATACTCTCCTTATCCATCCTTGTCCCTTTTTGAAAAACTGGAACAGAAAGGAAAAAGCAAACAAATGTTAGTGACTGGAATATCTTTCCTTTTCAGATCGACTGAAAGCAGAGCTGGGTAAGTGATTTAAATATGCTAGCAATTAGAAGTATTGGTGCAATTAGAAGTTAAGTGGAGGAAGGCAGAATCACAGTGATGACAGGAACTGCACGCTGGCAGACTGCTCAGTATTTCAGCCTGAGAAGTATCTAACTGCCTTAATAAAAACAAATAATACAGTAATGTCCATTTTCTTTTTGTAGATTTCTGGGAAGCCCGGAGCCACACAGGTAAGAAGGCAGGAGGAAGAGTGTGAAAATGCAGTAGCCATCTGTCCAAGCTACCCTGAACCGACAATGCCCGTCACCCTGAAATAACAATGCCACCATTTTAGAGATAAACCAACTGAGCTGGAGTCACAGGAATGCGACTGGCACAGTTAACAGGAAAAGAGGCTGGCATGTGGTTGTTGGGAAGACTGAGAAAAGGACCTGCTGGAAAATGTCAATGTCTGGGGTGGGGTGTGTCCTCTGGAGAGGATGGGTGGCCGTACAGAAAAGAGAAAGATTTATGGT